GCACAACTGCAATTTACAATTTGAAAAGATAGGTTTTGAGTAGAGATTTGAATTGAGATACAGAGGGGGCGCAGTGAATAAAGGCGGGCAGTTTGTTCCAGAGAGCGGGGGCAATAACTGAAAAGGCGCGGTCACCATACCGGGTGTTAGTGCGGGGTCCAGGTGTTAACAGTAATGTGGAAGATGAACGAAGTGTTCGTGACGACGTACGGGAACGTAAGGATATGAGATCGGAAAGGTAAGAGGGGGCTAAGCCATTGATAGCTTTGTAGCACAGGAGAAGAATTTTGAAGGATATGCGGTGGTGAATTTTAAGCCAATGTAGTGAGTTCAATATTGGAGTTATATGCTCTGATTTACGCGAGAGCACTACTATAATGTCTGAAAAGTGGGTTTGAACATTTATTCAGATAACTACTTGGAGAGTTTCAGTGCCAAAAAATAGGCCTATATTAAAGCAAAGATAGTTTTGGTAAATAAAATTTATAAAAATAAAACTTCTTCTATATTTGATAAAACACCTTCCAAAGTATTTCTGAACAACTTTCACACATTGAACCGAAATTATAGTTACGATTTATTTTAACTACCCCTTGTAAAGTAAAGCTGATAACATGCATAGATTTGTTCAGAGGTCCTCCGACATAACAAAAAAGATAATTCAAGTAAATTATTTAAAAAAAAATAAAAAAAAAATTAAGGCAAAGTAGCAAACCCTTATTACTCGATAACTTGCCTTCTTAATCATGATCAAATACTAGAATTTCTGCGAAGAATGTTTTTGAAAGTTTTTTAGATTTACCAAAACTATCTTTGTGCTTTAAAGGAAGTTTTTCCATGAGTTTTCCCAAAGAAGTCCATGTCAAATTGATGCTAATTAAACGCCAGTCCAAGCAGATAAAAATGATTCTAGAATGTAAGATTTGGACATGAAAGTAATCGGTTATATGCCTGCCACTTTCTCCACTTCAAGTTGCTATAAAACCAAACACTGCAGAGAGCAATGGGTGCAGCCATTACTTACATTCCTGTTCACATCTGTGATGTCATTACTAAACAACTCACTGATCACCTTTGTACAGATCAGTGACTTTTTACAAAAGAAGTCTGTTATTTGGTTGGATATGATGTCACAGAATTAAACATAACTGTAAGTAATGGCTGCGCCCATCGCTCTTTGCAGTTTGGTTTAGCAACTGAAAGTGGAGAAAGGTGACAGGCATAATCCATTAATTTCTTGCTCAAAATCTTACATTCTAGAGTCATTTTTATCAGTTTGGAATGACATTTAACATCATTTTGACATGTGTCATAGGGATTTTTTTGTTTAATTTTTGTATTTAAGAGATACTCTTAATTGAAATGCAAGAAACAAGGAAAATATGTGAACCTTGTTTAGCACCCTGCTGCTGCAAGGAAAACGAAGGAGGTCCTTAAAAAAAAAAAACTGCCTGAAAAACTTTGCAAATCAGACGTTTTCAGATGGTTTCAGATGTAAAATGTCATTTCTTTGCAGCATTCACTGCTGATGCTATTTCTATGATGGCAGGTGGCAGTTTGCCATCATTAGACCGCCGGGTGAGCCCCAAAATTCGTCAGTTTCGTGACCTCGGCTCGGCATCTATTTTCTTAATAGTGGATATTATTAAAGAATATATTTTGATAATATAGTCACAACTCGTCAATCGAAAACAATGCATATAAGCTCAAAAAATGGAAAAAAAGGTGCCTAAAATCATTTTTTTTCTTCACGGAGGTTGTCCAATCACTGTGCATGTATCAAGTAAAGGTTACAGCGCTTCAAGCTTTTTAGCCAATCACAGGCAGTGTTGTGCACGTACCACTGGCGCGCGCTATTTTGAGCTTCAGGTGTAGTAATCTGTCGTCAACAACTGAATATTTCAGAGGAAAACACAGGTTTTTGCTGTATGCATACAATTTCGACTCACAGTAAGGTGATATCTTTCAGTGGGAAGAGTTACAGAAAATTCAAGGAGTGTGCAGATCTTTGGAAGGACGTCAGATTTGGGTTTGAACTAGAAAACAAAATTGCTGCGATTGCGGTCAACTTCGACTTCGACTCGTTCTAGCTGCAGACAGAGCAGTACTCGCCCAGCGCCTCGGGCGGAGGAGTGTACCAGGGTTGTGTTCGAACTGCAACAAGTTCAACAAACAAGAGGTAGGCCTAGATCGATCTATGTCATTCCGAAGAAATGATTGTATTAACTATTTCAGCATGTTCAGAATAACTCTGATCCTATTCTTCTTCTTCTTCTCCTTCTCCTTCTTCTTCTTCTTCTCCTTCTTCTTCTTCTTCTTCGAGATAATCTGCCTCCTTAATCAAATAATACTGAAGTGAAGATTCTTGCACTTATTAATATTAGTCTACACCGGGGTTTCCCCCTAGGCCTAGCTAGGCCTACAGTCTTAGGCCTATACAAATAGTGCAATGGGTAATGGGTTCTTAACGTGCCTCCATTTAACGTCCTATCGGAGGGACGGAGTGTTTTCCACTTGACATAACCTGCGTCTAACAAGGGAAGGGGCACGTTAACACAACACAGGCCTCGGTCATCCGCCTGGGTGGGAGTCGAACCCGGGATCTTTGTCTAGATGTGATATGTCTATTTCTCGGCCCTAAACGTTGCAACTAGAACCAAGAAAAAGTCTAGATTAGAATATCTACCGGGTAATTTCTACTTTCTAAAAAAATGCTATGCTCTCGAAATTGAGGCCTAGCTGACTTGATCAAAGTGGTAGATCATGTGAATTGGATACTGGTCAGGCTTGATTCTATACTACATTAGTACAGATCAAGTCTTCATAATTAATGTGGGTATTTATTGTCCACATATTGATTACGGTATCGTCTGAGATTAGCGTACTGGTGGGTTTTTCGGGGGGAGGGCCACTGTCCCCCTAAATTTCCACAATCAAAGTGGTTTTTTTTTTGGTTTTTTTTTGCATGTTTGAAAAATTCTGCATGGTGAGGCCCACAGTCCCCGTCAATATTTGACACATTTAAATTAATACGCCACTTGTGATGGAGAATGAGCCTTGCCCTTGCCCTGGTGATCTTTTTATTCATGATGAAAAATGTATTACATGTACAGTACCGTATGCCCTCCATGCTCTACACACAAAAAAACACTTCATAAAAATATGAGACACCTCCTTACGTTTTCTAATAAGCAGTTCTGAATAATTTCCACTGTTAGTGTCACTGATGTCCAGTCTGTTCACTTCCAGTTGGAGACAGTAACCAGTCAGCACAGATATTTTTTTTAAATTTGTATTTCGATGATAGTTATATGCTAGATTCGACTCATACTGTAGGTTTTGTAGTGATGAATACTTCAGTATGTCTGTCTCGTAGAACTATAGACCTATTCTTTTTTAATACATGATATTAAATGATCCTTGCTTTTATTTATTTTCAATAAAGGTACACTGTATGTCCAACCAGGATACCATGTGGGCAGCTACAGGCACTTCTGCAACATTACAACAAACAAGTGAGCATAGATGAGATCAAGGCAAAGAAGGAACAATATTTAACTCATTGTATGTCACATTACTTGTAAAAATGTAAAGCTTTTTTTAGGAAATTCAATGTAAAGACCTTTCTTGTGATGCTCTTTTATGCCAATTTCCGCCAGATTCGATAAAGCAGATAACTTTTATCAAATGGTATTTGGACAAATGTATGAAATTACCTGCTGAAAATTTTAAAGAACATGATTTAGATATATTAGACTGAAGAAGAATAGCAGAGGCTGGGACACTGTCATCCATGAATTTTTAAATTTTATTTACAATGTATACTTTATGTGTATTTTTGCTTTAAATTCATAAATGTAGTTATGCTTTTTGAGCAATTGCTTTAAGGAATGTTTGTTATTTATAATATATTACTTGTAAATGTAAAGCCTTTTTTGGAAATTCAATGTAAAGACCTTCATTGCGATGCTCTATTTTGCCAATTTCCGCCAGATTCGATAAAGCAGATAACTTTCACTAAATGGCATTTGGACAAATGTATAAAATTACCTGCTGGAAATGTTAAAGAACATGATTTAGATATATATATATATATTAGACTGAAGAAGAATAGCAGAGGCTGCGACCCTGCCATCCATGAATATATAAAAAAAAAATATCTATAATGTATATTTTATGTGTATTTTTGCTAAAACATACATACATGTGATCGCTTGAAAGAATGTTTTTTATTGAAAATATTTTAATGTGAATTGACAATGTGCTGTATAACTGATGATGAATCATTTCTCTATATCAACCTAAAGAGCAGTATCCATGTAGTCAAGCAGGCTTACAATTTTATTGACCATGTATTTTGAGAATATGAGATAGTAATATGTCATATATTTAATGTGAAACCAGATTATAATTGGTCAAACATGCCTTACAAACTTTGTTTTAAATTGTGATTTATTTTATTTAAATATATGCCATTCCCTGAAATATATATTGTAGGGTGTGACATAGAAAGAGATAGAGAGGTGGGAAAGAGTGAGGGGGGAGAGGGAATGGGAAAGAGAGAGTGGTTAAGGAAACAAGAGAAAGGGAGGGAATGGGATGAAGAGAGAGAGAGAGAGAGGGGGGGTGAGGAAAGAGGAAGAAAGAGACGAAGAGAGAGAGGGAGAATGAGGAAAAATGGGTGGGGGAATGAGAGGGGATAAGAAGAGAAAGAGAGGGGATTAGGAAAGAGAGAGAAAGGGAAGGAATGAGGAAAGAGGGAAAGGAGAATATTTTGAGTGCACTGCAGCTTTGCACGATATCAATACAAGTCATTTCCCCATAGCATAATACACAGCTGTCTCAGACTGGACCCAAGAGGGCGTTTGTCATATTTATTAAAAATTAATCTGGACATTATTAATTTGTGTGCAATTTTTTCCACTGACGAGTTGCACCATCATCTTCAGTATATTTTTCTGCACATTAGAGGTCATTTTCAAGTAGATGCCGAGGATGGGTCACAAAAAACAAAAACTAAGGCACTTTTGAGGGTTCACCCGGCGGTCTACATGGTGCAATCCGAAGATTTGAGTCTGGAGATACAGATAGAAGATAGAAGCTGGGACGGGGTAAGCAAGGTTGTACACATAGTAACTCTTGAAGAGGATGTCAAATGCGTTGACGATGTTTGGTGTGTGGAGAGGGCATGCATACTCTTCTATCTGAAGGAAGATCTCTTCAACGTTGTTGTTTGTGCCCTTCACTAGCAAGGAGGGCTGTCTCGTGGCCGTGTCCTTCAAGCATTCAGTCACAGGCCTGTGGACCTGTAGCACACACACACAAAAATAAATAACAATATCGCTCAGTAAGACAAGAAGGAAAAGAAAACAAAAATGTATTTAGACAATGCCATTCAATTGTACTGGTCATACGTGAATGTATGTGAGCCTTTTTTTTAAATTTTTTTAATAGAGCTCCTGCTTGACACTGCACATCTTCAGAGTGCGCATGTCTGTCCCATATTGATTTAAATGTCTCATACACTTGGAGAACATTTGTGTGTGTGTGTTTGTGCATGCTTCCATCACTGTCTCATTTACTTTCTTAATTCATGTATTTTCACTTCTGTTGGCCCAATTCTCAACTTCCCTCCCCTACTTAAACACAGATCCCATTGTATCAACTGAAGCTGTACTTATATCAAATCGTATCTATACTGTACAGACGAATATAAATCTTACCAAAGTGATGTGTCACCCCTGTAAATTAAGCCATTGACTGGTGCAAATGTATATTTACCAGCATGTCATTTTCTTGTATTTAAAACACTTGAAATACTAGCAGCACAACACTTACGTCATGGAAGTGCACAATGCAATGTTCCATATCTGCTTGTGAGACACGCCCTTTGCCCTTTGTATTGTATGAAGGGAGGAACTTCATGAGTACCAGGAAACCAAATAGCTGCGTGTGTTCTGTTGAAAAAATTTAGGAGGAAAGTCTACATTACTAACAAAAAAATTAAATATATAAAATATAAATTAGAGTAGTTTGTTGTGTGACAGTTAAGATCAATATATGCTTATCCCTCTTACCAGTTCCAGAAACATAAGTGTTACTTAATATTAGTACATCACACTTTAAGCTTCCAAAGAGGTAGTGGGTGTCCCTTAATAGGATCCACCCAACCCATGCCAGGACAGCACACCATCTCCATCCATCAGTGGAAGGTAAAAACATCCCAGCAGGTGACTGGTTTTCCTGGTCAGACTGTCATACATGTTGTGCAAGACTACTCCTTCAGTTGGGAATTGTTATCCAGGGGAAACAATACCTGTGCACAGTATACAAACATCTTTAGTCCTTTCCCTTATCCTCCCTTTATACATCATGTTAATTCAGCCCTTAAATGAAAACTAAATTTGACTCCATGTGTTGCTTTGTTAGGCAAATACTCTCTCCAACCTTGATGCATAAGTATATGAACCAGTTCTTCAGAATCTCTATTTAATTAAAGCATTACATAATGCGTATGTGAAAGGCATCCCTACTACGCCCTTCTCCAAGACTTGCTCCCTTTACAGCAGGTGCCTAAGATGGTGTTAAGAATACACATTGACAAAGCTGGCTAATTGGATAATCAATTACATGTAACAGAATGGAACTTTAGACAGTACCAGTTATTTGTGGTAAGTTTTGTGCACCTGTCGGATTGTGCGGCTTCCGCCTAGGCTGTCTGTTAAGAATATAAATGAGGGGAAAGTGACTATTTGGAATGCAGTGTGTCTAGAAATAATTCACCTCATAGCCAACGACTGCGTCGCCTCTTTTTTGTTTAGATTTGTTGCTGTACTGTACACGTGGCCTGTGGAGGCATGGTTTTAGGCGGACACCCTCATTGGCTAAGTTATATTCCAGTGTGTTCTTACAATGAAAGTTCATATAATACCTTGTCTGGTCTTGGGTAGTGCATGGTATTCATCATTGATCTCCTTGCCTTCCCTACATGTTGATGCATAGGCCAAAAGAGCCATGGCATGGCCATCCCATTTCTTGAGGAGGGAATCACTGGCATCAGGGTAAATCTCCTGGAAATCCTGCTGCACCTGCAAGAAGAAAATGTTAATAATGGTAGAGGACTAAACTTAAATCTGTTTAGGTAAATACCATTGTTATGACAGATTTGGTAAGGGTCTGCCCCACGACTGGGAGACTGCAGGCACTAGTGTACATTCAACTCCCTGGTAAGGTCGAACAAAAGTTTTTAAAGGCAGTAGTAAACATTTGCAAAGGGCTACCTATCTGCATAAATGTACTTCTGAAGATATATTAGGGCCTCTGAAGAACATTTGTAAAATTTCAGATGAAGGTACATTCCCGTTATGGATTAAGAAACGGAAAGAGAAAGTGAAATTTTATTTTATTTTCTTTGTTTTCTAAAGGCGGCATCCCAACGCTTTAAGAGAAAAACTGCTAATATTCCACTCAAACTTTGCAGTATTGCTGTGAAATTGATAACATGATATCATGATCATGATTTTCTTTTGTTTTTGTAATACAAACATATTCACACAAAAAACATACAAAACAAAATCTTACATTAATTTTTTTTAATCAGCCCATCCTTCAAAGTCATCTGAGTTTATGATACATGTATATAAGTCAAATTAATACTTACAAGGTCTGGCATGTCTCTGTACCGCGGGTACCTCTGCAATATGTCCTTCATGAAAGGTTTCTGATCCTGGATCCATGCATGTCTACTTGTGGAGCATTTGGCCATTGCTGCTCGAACTGTATTCTTATCTGTGCTGTTCCTACACAGCGCTTCTGCCTCCTTCATCTCTTCAGACGTGAGGACAGCCTCTAGCCTTTTGGTAGTACCTTTTGATGTGCTGACCTTGCCCTTGCCATTGCCCTTGCCACTTTTCATTCTGGCACTGTCAGGCAGATTTCTCCGGATGTTTTTTAGCTTGTCGAACAAATAGCCCGACTGTCCACCTTTAGAGCAGTAGATATGTTCCTGTTGAATGTAAGAGATAAATACTCATTAGAGCTTTTATCTGGGATAAGTATTACTGTGGTCCAAAACACTTCTAGATACTTCTTTCACATTTATAACTATTTGCCATATAAAATTTGGTCTCATTTGTATGAAGGTTGTCCCCACAACTATGACATATGATCATTAAAGGTTGACTCAGAAAGATGGGTGACAACCATTCTTTAATGCTATAAAATCACAAGGTAAGATGCAAGATACAGTTTGAATTGCAATGTACACCTGGTATTATCATGAGATATGTATCTGTGGCAACGTGTCACTCACCACATAAGCATGCATTTCAAAAACGCCTTTACCTGCTTCATTGTCTTTCTTCGCAATTCAATAACTTGATATACATGTAGAGCACATACAAACTTATTATTAGTATACAGCTGTGAGCCTCATTGTGTATGTAAATCATTACTTTTGCATCCCGCAATATAAGTATAAAATAAACTATAAAAAAAAAATGTGCTAAGCAAGCATATATATTTTGTTCATATGATATATTTTGTGCTGTTATTTATTGTGAGATACAATATGAAATGCTTAAGGTCTCTATTAAACTTAATTGTTAACAAAAATCAGTGTATTTGTGCAACAAATCATGCACGGGCATACGCTTTGTATGCCCCAACAATTTAACATCAAGGTGGGGGGGGGGGGCAAAGGTAAACACAGAATGTCATCCCGAGGTTACCACGGACTAACGCTAGACAGTGTAGCACATATCTTACCCCGTGTTCAGGAAAAAAAAATTGTGCCGCTAGTGTGTGAATATAAAGTGGACAAGGTTATAGACGGTATGTCCTCTACTTGAGGTTGTGCCGCATTTGGGCTAGATTTAAACAGGGTATTACATAATTATATTGTAAATACTTACATATCCAGTCTCTCCAGTGGGATCTTTCAGTTCCGGGAAGAAGGAGATAATAGCTTTGGCTACTGCATGCTTCTGCTGCATAGTGGGGTAGCTGCAAGAAACATGACAAGATGTTGAAAAGCAGGCAACTTCGGGAGTACATGCATGGTCTTAAAGAAACAGAATTTACAGATGTAGGGTCTGTTGTCTCTTTTCATGGATGTGTGTGCAAGATCTTTACACGCGTGCAAAATTAGTTACAATGTAACAACCATTTATTGGCCAATGTTAAACAGATAAAACCAGCTTTTTTTTGCAGTGCACAATAGCCAACAGAAAAATTATTTCTCTATTTCCTTAGATCAAGTTTATCAAAGATGTCTTAACAGTATTTAGTACTGAGGATCTGCTTATGTATGATTCAGTCAAGCTTAAGCTCTTTGCAAAGGGTCCATATTGCATGATTTAGTGCATCGATCACCATCCAATTTAAAGATTAAAGGTAGTAAGTAGCCCACATTTGCAAAATACCGTTTTGGATTTTGAAAAGAAATAAGCTCATTTCAATTTGAAATCACAGATCATGATGTAAAACTATCACGTTATCAAAATCACAGCAATATTGCAAAGTCTAGTGAGAAATAATTTGCTTTTCTCTTAACCCTATTTTAACTGGGCTACTTCAGACCACGTAATTACTGGGGGGGGGGGGAGGGTCAATTTGACCCCCTTTCAGATCTCGGCCATGGATCTCGCGATAATTTGCACGCTAATAGAGTGGAATGTAATCTTCATGACTGCATAGTTATTTTTTCTGCAAATTTGTCCACATTAATTCAATATGCTAATTTATGCGTCAATATCAGCTAATTTATGCAAAAACAAATCATTTTTAGCTACAAATCCCAAAATAAAGCTTCTAGAGTTCTTATTTTTTGCATGTAAAGTCCCTTTGTAATCCAAAATGATTGTACACAAAAATATTTCAAAAAATGTTTTTTTTTTTTTTTATGTATTTTATTGTTTTTGTAATTTCTTATGTATTTCTTTGTTTTTTTACCAATTGTTTTCGTTGTTTTTTTGCACAAAATTTATCAAACATATTCTTCTTAGCATAATTTGGCTAAAATTAGTTAGATATTATTAGACGGGGGGGGGGGTCAATTTGACCCCCCCCCCCCCCCAAGTTAAAATACGGTTAAAGCCTCAGATGAGGCCTTGAGAAAATGAGGAAAATAAAATAAATTTGCCGTTAAATTTTTGCTTCTCAGCGCTAAATGGGGAATGTACTGGGGTCTAAAATTACAAGCATTTTTTTTAGGCCTAAACCTGTCGGCAGAAGAACATTTATGCAGTTTGGTAGCCCCTTGCTAATGTGTGCTATCACGGGTGTAGACATGACATTGATACTCATTCAAGTGGGGGGGATGAGCTATTCATCCATCGGATTACATCCCCCCCACTTGAATGAGTATTACGTAACACGCTACGCCAGTGTGTGCTATTACCTTTAAGATACAAATATGTGTACAAAACAGAAGTACAAAAGTTAACCTATCATGCAAATCAAAAGGCATAATAATTTACTCACTATCCACATACTGCCACTAACTCTGCTGCCATGATGCTGATGACCTGCTTCCTAGTTGTGGGGGAGATGAGCCTGAGCCTATTATACTCCTCAAGTATGGATGCACCTCTGTTGTGACCCTCTAATATTTTCTTCATGTCAAAATCTAGCTGAAAATTTAAAGGAAGAAACATAGAAAATAATGATTACGTGTTTCTACATTCAGTACTGTATAAAGAGTAAAATTCAGCAATGGTCCAGATTCTGTTTTTGCCTCATTTATGGGATCCCCTGAAAACCGAATGAGGAATTGCCCTGCCCCAAACTCATTTGACTCCTAAGAGTTGACTGGGATGTCTCCACCTCTCTAAATAGTAAATACCGCCATGAGTAAAGGTGTTATTTGGCTCTCACAGTATCAACCAAAAACATAATACTTTCTGCACCCTATAGAGGGGGGGGGGGGTGTGGCATGAAAACAGAATAAGTAATCATACAGCCTCCCATTTACTTTAACTAAAATACTTAATATTGGGTTGTCATGGCAACAAACCAATCAACGATTATATGCCACCCCTATTGTATACTCTGCCTACCTTCTCTATAACTTTCATATCAAGTTTGATTAATATGCCTGCCTAATGTGATGTGACCATGGCAAGGGGCCATCTACAAAGTACGTACGCACAGGGGGGAGGGGGGGTAAAATCTTATGCGTACCCTCCATTGAACCACGTGTATAAAAAGTGCGTACAGGGGGGGGGGGGGAAGGGGGTCAATTTCGGACCAAAAATTGCGTACGTACTTTGTAGATGGCCCCCATTTCAGTTTCCAACGTATTCAAGAAATATGGGCTTGCACATGTTCACTCCAAGACTAATTGATGCGTGTGTGCTAAATTTAATGAGCATTGCTTGCAATCTGGGGCAGTAGTTCGATCCGCAGAATTTGCAATGGCAAGACCAACTGCTTCGACAACAGACTGATTTGTGTATACCCCATTTTAACACTTTATTTGGCGGGGTATAATCAGTGATATGCACATTCAGGGAAGAGCTGGGAACTTGATGGTTAAGAATAACATCAGCCTGGACTTATTTTTGCATAGCAATTGGTGGTACTGGTATTTTTTTCACTGTTGTACCACAAACATTTGGAATAATGCAACAGTTTTATAAAACAAAAGTTGCAATATCAAACCCTATTAGTTTCAGATAATTCATGCAAAGATAATAATTTAGTTTGACTGAGTGAAACTGAATCCTGACCTTCTTATCGGAGGGGAGAGAAGATGGGTTCACCATGGATGATGTCCTGTGATGTGATGAGGACATCTGAAGTGGGACATCTGAGGAGCAACTCGGCAGCAGCACGCTGGAACTTGACAGTGATGTCCCTGGCATAGCTGAATTACTCTCTGGCACAATCTGCAGCATGAAGCAGTATCCAACAAAAGTGAATACATCCAACATGAACATTTCATAATTTGAATGTAACTGTTTACATTGGTTTTTTTTATGAGTTTCACAGAAGTTTCACAGAGATTGTAAAATGGCCATTGAAGGACATGAATTGAGACAAACAAATATTCTTAACTTATATTACAAAATATGGATAACTTAATAAAAAGTGGCAACAAAAGTGAGTACACCCTGTGTAATATCTGCACTGAAATAAGATCAAATAGCAATAGACCCGGGTGTCTCAATGCACACCAGTCACCAGTAATTCTGCACATTCGCTCAAATCACTATACAACTCTTGCCATTGAAAGCACTAACAGCGAAATTTCAAAAAATATCTTTTCTTAAAAGGAATGGGAGGTGGATTGTCACCCTCCTCCTGAATGTGCTCATTAACAGTTTGATGTTCATTGGATTATGCAATGACTTGAAGTCAATGTTTTCATTTGAAATAAAACAACGATAATAAACAGGAAGTGCAATTTGAGACTTTTCAATGGAACTTAAATTTCTATTTAATAACATCTTTGAAAACTCAACTTTTTCATGTAAACGGTATTTATTGCCTTGAAACTGAATCCTGACCTTAATTGAGGAGAGAGGAGATGGGTTCACCATGAATGATGTCTTGTGATGGGATGAGGACATCTGAGGCGAGGCATCTGAAGAACAGTCTGATAGCAGCATGCTGCAAGGTGGCGGCGATGGAGGAATCAACAAGGGAGAATCCCCAGACAGATCAGAATCGGTGTCAGCCACGAACTGCAATTTACACCATAAAACATCCATTAGGATAGAAAACAAACAAATATTCCTGTATATTTAAGAAAAAAAGAAAGATTGTCCCTGCTGCCAATGTAGACACCTGCATTAAAAATAAATGTTTTGTTAATCTCAGAGAGCTGGATGATTATAGGATTTACACACACTCCTTTTGAAGTTCATAATTTGTAATACTTGTTTGCACTCCTTAATTTGATACCTTTATTTCAAAACAAATGTTTAAATAAGTGAAATGAAATTAGATGGTGAAAAGTCAATAATTATCAAATTGATTATTTTGAGCACATGTATTGTTCTTACATAAAAAAATCTAAATAAATTGTTTTTCCACACGTAACAATCTATGTGTAGGCCTATGTGTTAGCCACTGCCAAAAAAAAGAAAGAAAAACAAAAGCAAATGAGAAGAAACGTTTAGGTTATGTGTTACTCATTGACATCCTGCTTGAAACAACACCACGGAATCTGGCATATTGACCAATAATGGATAACAAATCTTTTGGGGCAGTTCCCATCTGTTTGTTTCACACCTGAAAGCATCTTATGTATACAATGTTACATAAAAATATTTCACTTTTAAGTGTGCTGAATATTTGCAGAATATGAAGTAAAAATATTACAACAATTTTGTGTTTGCTGCTCAGCAAATACAATTCATTTTTATTACAGTCCCATTTAATATGCTTTTTACTTATTGTTTGTACTATGCCAACATTGTGATTTCAATATCTCTTTAGAATCTCTCCTATTCTCACTAACATTGTTATGCACAAGGATTTCATCTACTGAGAAATGAACAATAAAAGAATGGTTTATGGGCAGTTTCTTTCAAAATGAAATCACACTGCAAGTACTCCTGAGTACCTTCAACTGGACAGGAGATGAAAAGGACACCCCAGATGAGACATCTGATGAACATCCTTGCAGAAATATGTTGGAACACATCTCTATGTCAGAATCACTCTCTGGTACAATCTGCAATTCGTTATGTAAAATTGTGACTTGAAATACAGACTTGCTAAGCTCTATTCAATTCTGGTGTTCAAGGTAGTAGCACACATTTGCACAGGGCCACCAATCTGCATAAATGTCCTTCTGCAGATAGGTAATTCCAAGTTCATTTCCGTTAGGGGTGAGAAACAAAAATGCTTAATTTTCTTTTATTTTCTTCGTTTTCTAAAAGGGGTCATCCCAATGCTTTTAGAGAAAAAAACATTAATTTTCCCCTCTAACTTTGCAGTATTTGTTTGAATTTGATGACATGATTTGATTACATCATGATCTGTCCTTTTAAATTGGAATGACCTTATTTCTTTTGAAAATAAAAAACGGTGTTTTGCTTATGTGGGCTACTACCTTTAAAGAGATCTTTGTGTGATTTGATTTTCTTTAATTTCTGCATCATTTTGCTGGTGTTCATAGCAATAAAACAGTAATATGAACAACATGAATTATACAAAAGAGGGGATTTTAGACAATGCCTAATTTATTTAAAGAGCTTGGTACATAGAATGACAAGTGGAGGGTGGAGAGATGTACCAGAAAAGTAAAGAAAAAGTAGAAGTTGGGAAGAAAACTGCCAATGTATCCACTGCATAATCTCTATAGAGTCAATACTGTAGTATTATTAATCTTAAAAACATGTATTTTAATTAACATGATTTGTGCATACAGTAATTACAGTCCATCGCAGACAAATTCCTTCATTCTATGGTATTCTGCCAATATTCATTGCAGATATTTACACTTCAGTTATTATTTGGAAAAAAGCAAGTATTTCGGTACTTACAGGTACACCCCGAGAGGAACCTCCGCATCTGTTGAAGGAGACCTCGATTAACTCATCCAGGATTTCGCTGTCATGTTCATCCAGTTCAACGAGTGGTCCACTGGCTTCTACACGGCCGTGGAATGCATACTTTTCGTCCATTGGAAGGGCGAATGTTTGTTTGATTTTGAATGTCATGCTATCGAAATCAGTCGTGTCCAACTTTACTAGCTTTTTCCTATCACTGTTTTGGTCCCCATTGTACGTAACATACATTCTTTTGAGATCCATTATTTGGGTTCAATGCTGGTATAAAAACTGAACTAAGAAATTCACTAATTCTTGTTTTGTTATTACATTTTCTTTATATGCCTCGATAATCAGCAATAGAAAATTTACAGCACCCTCAATTTGTATAACATATAAATTGCTCTGATCTCCTGGCATTGATAATCCTGTAGGAAATGAGAATGAAATGAATAAAAAGAAATTCCATTCAAAAAATAAGATGGTGAGAAGTTGAGAACATTACATTTAATTTGCCTTTTTGCAAGAACAATTGATGTACCAGGTATAGGTTTTGACAACGAGCACCATTTATTCAGGTCTTACATAAGATGTGATTCCTTGGAATAATGGCCATCTTTTCCCCATACCTGTTTAAATGTAGGGTACGGAAACTCTTCAAACTACCTGGACGTGTAAAGAACATTTCATCAGTTTCATTCACAATGTAGCAATGGAGATGTTCATCAAAGTATTCAGCTTTCAACAAATATCCTGTTAAGAAGACAGTCTCTCTTACAATGACAGAGTTGGAAATTTGACCAAAGGTGGGCAATTCAGTGCCAATGTCTAACACAACTACTGAACTACACCTGTAGGTAGTTCCTAAATGTGTTATTCTTTGTGCCAAGAATGCATCATCTGTGCGACGAAGTCCAGGGAGTTCATCAACAAGAGCAGGAAAGTAAGCTATCTCAGCAACGGAACATGCAACAACATCTTCAACTTCAGCTGTGGGATTTCCTTGACCCTGTTGAGACCATGCACTACAATGGCTAACCTGGTGTCTTGCTGCTGCAGTCAAACAGAAATCTTTGAAGCAACCGACTACCCCTGCTAGCCTCTTACTACAACTATGTTTTGCTTCAAATCTCATTGACCATAGATTGATAAGTGGTCCCATTTTTTTCATAGCCATAGGATAATGCACCATAAAATGGTGTTTGGGGAGAAGGTTCACATTGGGAAACACCTGTCGAAACAAAGTGTGATGTTCATGGATGAGGTGTTTCAAATATATAATCAGCCCTTCTGTGACTGAATCTGAAAATACAACATCTACAATGGTCCTCAACAATAAGATCAAGCTCCAATGCAAATTGCCGCGTGGGATGAATGAACCAATCAGGAGAGGCAAAACACGCAGGAGACACCACATCTGGCTTGCATGCTGCTTCAAGGAGTTGTCTTTATTTTTCAAGGTTGATTCAAGAATACAAGATGGTTTGTTTTTCTGATCACAAAACCCATAGGAGTGACTGGATATGTGTGAATTCAAAGTATCGAGAGTGAAAAAATTGTCCACATATATAAATTGATGTAAAACCAATTTCACCTCCATTGGACCAACACCCTCTAGCACATCATGCATGATGTCTGGCACAACATTTTGAGCGACATGATAAAACTGAAGTGAATTGAGAATGGAATTCCTCTTAACACCAGTCTGAGAGACAGCTGCTGCATTTTGCTGAGAAGCCTCAACATGTTCCCCATGACTCTCTCTATTTCTCAGCTCAAATTCTTCTCCAAGAAACCTTGTCTGAAATTCTTCCCTCTGACCTAAGCAGGTCCTGCAAGGCCTGTTGGCAGAAAAGCTTTCAACAAATCCTAGCAATCCGTTCAGGCCAAGATTATCCCCACAAACCTGAGCGAGTGTCCCTCGCACTGTTTTCACAGATTTGTCTGGCAGGACAATTTGTGCTCCTTCCTCTGTCTCCAACTTCTTAACTTCATCCACAAAGGGGGCCAAAACTGCATCAAAGCCATATTTCTTTAGGTCGATACAATTACAAAAAGCAAGTAGATGAACATTATCCAACGATGAATTCATCCATGGAGGCAGATTTTTCAGGGTGTAGTAAAATGCTGCAATCTTATGAATCCCCCTTTTAGACCCAAGAGGATTCACTACCTCGAATTCATCAAAGTAGAGGCAGATTTGAATTGCTTGCCCATTAGAGAACAGAGGATGATTTCTGTAGTGATCACCATCACAAAAGTCTCGCAATATTCCATCATTGCTGCAGTGTCCTACTTCAATTTCGTGACTTGCAACTTCACTTCCATGAATCATACCCAAGGTTGACAGAACAGGAATATACTGAAAAGTTTCTCGCACGAGCACTTCTTTTGTTTGCCCAGTTTGTTTATCTGTGCGAACATCATGACGAAATCCAAGAAATATACTCTGAGGCTGGACAATGTTTAGATGATCATGGATGAATTTTTCCTGACTATACCTAGAACTGAGACCCTCATACAAACGAGTCTCTCTATCAAACTCGGATATGATAGTCTCGTATTGTTCAGAACCTTCCTGTAATCCTACCCTACCGAGAGCATCAACAATTCTTCTCCTCAAATTGTTTACAACTTCCTGATTTAATTCTGAGGTACTAGAAACAATTCTTTGCATAGAAGCATAAGTCATATTAGTCTCTGAAAGAAGACCAGCAAGAAATCTTGCTGCACTCTTAGAAATGTCATCATTCATGTCATCCTCATTGTTTTCCACATTACGTCCAAACTCCACATCATCATCTACATCAGAATCTTCATCGTCTTCTCTATTGCCATACCTAATGGGTATATTTTCCTCATGGTCAGCCTCATCAAAGGGATGTGACCTAACAATATATTTTCTAAATGAATTAAATGTTTTGAATGATGATGGGCATCCTCCTTGACTACACACTAGGTGGAGATTTTTCAGGTCAAATAAAGCATGTGCCATGTGCAAATGGCTGACTAAATTTGATACAGGTCCTGGTATCCTGATATTACATTTGAAGCATATGTAACCCATGCTTGTGCTTGTATTTTCATCTGTTTAGTTTATGTAACTTGGTGATAATTAGTTTAAGATTTATTTTAATAGACTTTGTATTTGTGCGTGTAATCTTTTGGACTTCTTCTGGAATGTAATTCTGTGACACTTACTCTAGCTGCCAATGCTCGTTTCTTGTACAACGTCAAGAATCTAAAATAAAGAAGCAAACATTATAGTGCAGTGACACATTGAACAAAAAAGTGTGCAAATCTTTGTTGAATGAATCAAGAGAGAATATAACATTGATTATAAAAAGCCGTGAGTAAAGCCTGACTATATTATACGCAAAATTTAATTGGAGCGGACAAGATTCAAGAATTGAATCAAAACATGAATGTTAACATTTTGGAGTGAAGACCACGTTGTTTTGCATAAATTAGAACGGCGCTACTGACTTTCGTAGACTAGTCTACTCCTTTTTAATTTTTTTCGTACCTATTTTTTTTTTTTTTTTTTCAACGCTTTATTTGTCTTTAAACTCAACTAAATTAGTTTGTATTACTCACTGCACTTTGTCTTTATCCCTCGATGGTCTGTTGAAATATTTTGATCAACATTTAAGCCCTCTTTGGAGAGTTTAATCGATGTCTTTGAGAGCGTCGCGGCACCAGCTTCGCGGCTATGGATGTAACCGGTACGGCGCGCACCTAGCACACGTTCAAGTCATGGGTAGCTAACGGCATGGCTGCTCGTGAAGTTCCGCTATTTCGATTGTTGCGACCCATTAGCTGCAGCTAGCTATACGTTTTATATATAGCCGGTCCGCTAGCCCAACTGTCCCGAAGCGACAGCGTATTACTGTTACATAGCGTTAATTGTGTATGGCTGGTCTTAAATTGCACACAATTTACTTCCCACTTTCTAGTTTATAAATCTGCATTTGTTGCTTTATAATCACAAGTATGAAATTAACTAAATTTCTACAATTAACGTACGTCTAACTTACCATGTTTTCTGCTATATAAAGGGCAGGCGAATGCAAAAGGAACGTGTAATAAAAACATGTACAGACATGTCTTGATCTCGGGGCCGGTACCGGTACCGCAGTCGGTCTACGTATAGGACAGTACATACAAGCCACGTGCGCTGCATGCTGGCTCCGACCGATCCCGGTTAAACTCGCACTACAGGTGCATCCTTGTACATCCAGCTAACACCACTGGACCAACTCCTTTGCTGGTCAGCACTTCAAGTGCAAAACTAGCGTCTTTGATATTCAGCACTTAATTTCAGCACCAATTTGTTTGCACATCATCATTTCCCAGAAGTAAATGGCACTTGAGGTGCTAGAAATAACCCCCCAGGTGCTAACTCGTATTTAGCACTCGTTTTTTAGCACTTCTGTTTTTAGAGTGTATTAGTCATATAATAATAATCTTTTAATAATAATAATAATGATCTTTTAGTCCACTCCAAATTTTATTAAACCGAAAATGGAAATTCTTTTTGCCCAATTGATCGTAAGCCCGGCAGCCACTGAGCAGCGCCAGATCGACGTTGCTCTATCCCCTTATTGTTGAACGCCAAACAAGGTAGCAGCAACTCCCGTCTTTTAACGTCTTTTGGTATGACGCGGCCGGGGTTCGAACCCACGACCTGCCGGTTGTGAGGCGGACGCTCTACTGACTGCGCCAACACACCACTCATTATCATTAGTATTATTATCAGTAATGTATTATTAATATTACCATTTTAATTGTTATTTTCATCACCTTTTTTAAATTGTTGCTGTTACAAGCATTTTTATTGGTAATATTATCATCATTATTTTCATCATTATATTTATTCTTGTTGTCGTTATTATTGTTTATGTTATAATCATCAATGTTATCATTGTCATTGTTATTATTAGTTTTAGACGACGGCTACTATTACTACTACTACTACTACTACTACTACTACTACTACTTCTACTACTACTACTTCTTCTTCTAACACCTACTACTACTACTTTACTACTAATACTACCCCTTTAAATTGGGTTCAAAGGACATTTTTTTTTGGTAAAAGGGTACTGTTTTCATACATTTTCAAGAGTATGACTCTTTCTTGTTTTTTTTCTTTTTTATCAGACAAAACTCAAATGGAGCCAGTTTTGGTTGCCATTCAAGGGGCGGTAGATGGTGTTTGCCTGAACGAAATACTGGATATATCCGTGTCCTGCACAGACGAGGGCGTTCACATAGTGTGCATTCAACCCAGAGTCCAAGGACAGTCTTCCGAAAGAGATCACCCCAAAACTGAAATGCTTTCATTGAAAGATAAGATGGAAGGGGAATTCAAACGAGAGGTTGCTTTGAAGGGTCAGCTTAGATCAGGAATAAGAGAATTAGAAGAGGAAATTTCTGAATGGGGTTGTAAAATCAACGTGTCGAAGGTCATTGTTACGCAACTTGAACTGGAAAGGTCCCAACTCAATTCAGACATACAGAATAAACAAACAACTTTGCAGGAAATCGAGAAGAAAGTAAATGAAGCAACGGGGCATTATGAAGAGCGGGAAAAAGCATCCCAAAAACGTCTAGACAAAAAGAAAGCAGAGAGTGAAAACCTTGCTGAAACGATAGCTATTCAAAAGGCACTGTACAAGTCTCTGAAATTAGAGAAACATACACTACTGAATGCAAACAACTGGAAGAAGAGAAGAACAATATTGGTCAGAAATGTGATATGTTGAGATCTCAATACCAAATACTTACATCGAATGTAAAGGGTGAGGAGGAAAAGCTAGAAAACTTGCGTAAGTATCTCAAAACCAAATCCTTAGATCATCATCATATACAAACGCAGACCGACCTAACAATGGATCAAATAGATAATTGGGAGAATGACGTCACTGCTTTTTACCCACCTCAGGAGTATATAGCATCAGATACACCTTCGGCTTCGATCCTAACAATGGATCAAACAGATCATTTGGAGAATGATACTGCTATCTGCCCAGCCCAAGAATATATAGCATCATATGAACCTTCGGCTGCCGCAAAAGACAAGGATTTTACAATGGTAATAGATGAACCAACGCCAGATTCGAATATGAGGGACGATAGCGATGAAGAAAATCGCAGGAAGGGGCTTTGTTGTCTTTATTGATCGATTTGACTTTATTTTTTTTTTATCACTCAGTTTAATATTGTGACATCTATAAATTAACGGGTGATTCAACCTGTGTGTAAAGTTCATTTGTAAAAAAAAGTAAAAAATAAGAGAAACAAAATGAGTAATGTTTGAAATGAATCGGACTAATATAATAAAAGAGTTCAGAATGCTTGAATCATAACATTTCTAAAACTTATGCGAATCTCAAATTTGTTATTTGATTGTAACGTATGAGTACATCTCTGCCATTTTTTATGTATACTACCTTAATAAATTCAGTCTTTTTAATCATAAAAACTTTCTCCCTTGGGGTACTACTCGAAACATATTATGGATATCGTGTTATCATAGGTCCTCTAAATAGAAAAGACCCCTATGAGTAATAATATGAATTCAATAATATAGCACCTTTGTGTATTGACATTTTTAGTGATTATAAATCCATTCAAATATATTTTTTTCTTTTTCGTCTGATTTCATTAAAAATCCCACCGTTCTGCTTCCCTCTCTCTGGTGTTCTGCTTTCTTTAAGAGGTTTGTCCCTTAATAATTACTTTTACCTGTTTCCATAATGTTAGCTGCATGACAACTGCCATGCAATGATGTAATTAAGTCATCATATTCTCAATTAATTCAGGTATTTATGATTTTTTTTTTAATACCCCCAAACCATATCAAATCAAATCAAATCAATTCAAATCAGAGCAGAGCATAATTCTGACTTTGAACCTTCTTTCTTTCTCTCTATATATTCATATTTTTTGCCACAGTAGCTCCGGGTGACAGTAAAACAGCAAATAATCACAAGCATTCTGGTATTACATGAATATTCTGTTTAACCCTTAAAAGTCTGGGGGTTTTTTTTGGGTGCTTTTTCAGCCAAGGGTGTAGGTGTGGATTCCACCTCCCCTCCCCTAAACCCGGGATCTCTACCACGGGGTGACGAAAAATTTCTAGACTTGGCATACAGATAGAGAATCTCATCAAGAATCTCACCAAGAATAAGCCTGTGAGATCGTATATATGTATATCAAAAAGTTTTGTTTACTTATTGCTGACTAATAGTCACTATATTCACATAAATATCCGTGTATTTTACGATTTGTGGCGATGCTGCGCGGTACGTGTTGGTCGACATTTTATAAATTTGGTATCAAAAGATGCGTACAAGACTTTAGGCGACAAAGACATGACCTTACCCTTTCAATGCTATAGCGTTGCCATGGAATAATTCCTCACTGATAAACTGTCTACAAATTTAATTGAAATTGTCCGTGTATTAGCTGCATTTTGCCTGGGACAAATCTGCACTCTTCCTGCATTTGTGTTGCATGAAATATAAACAGCTTTCAACCAAGACTAAATGCTGCATTTTAATGAAGACACAATGCACATGTACGAATAAAGGTAATTTAGGTTGGTGGTATTTTTTTCATCAATATATGGATTAAATATACGTCTTGGAAAAAGAATGGTAAAAACATGATCTGAGATGTAACGAGAAATGATGAAAATAAACGATTTCCACTCCTTGTGTGTTAACCTCGACACTTTTATAAACATAATAATTATAATTAAAATAGTGGGTTCTTGTTTAGCGCTCATGTCTGTCAAACTTGACACTCCTGGTGCTCCACAATTGTTACCTCTACTTTAGCGTGGCCGCCATAATGGCGCTTTAGCATTGCAAGGAATAAATTCATGCCAGGAACGCACTCACCTCACCTGAGTCGAGAGTGGCAAATTTAGGTAAATGCCTTGCCAAAGGACATTTGTTTCACGGCGGGACTCGAACCCCGAAAAATATGTTCAACAGTCTGACGAAGTATCCAGAAGACCCATCAGCTATACAATATAATGCATTAACCCTCTATAGAATGACAAATTCCCAGGCACCAGAACTTATATGTCATCATGACACAGTTTGTCTTATTAACAATCGATGGAAGTTTGCAAAATGAGTTAAAGAATGAAGCAAATAGATACTTAACTTTACATAGTGTACACAAAATATTGCAAGAAAAAATGCTGTAAAATCAATGAATATAACATTTATACCGTATATTTGTAAATTAACCTCTATGCAATACAATAAAAACGAAAATGTGCTAGTCATAAAAATCGTCTTGATTTCAATTGTTTTAGATTTAAGCAGATTATTGATGTCGAATATTATATTTGTTATATTCTTTGTAAATTTGTGTGAACTAAACTTAACTGTTATATTTACTGTAAAAAGACATCTTCATTTGAAAACAAGAGTGTTTTTGGACACATAACTGTAATGATAACATTTTTCACTATTTAGTGATGGTAATTTAAATATGGTTTCTTATACATTAATACAATGCAACTCTGCAACTTTTTGTTAAAGACTTTCAATTCAAGAAGATTTTACCAAGGTAATAGCAAAATGTAGTGGCACAAAATACGCTTCTGGAACACATATGCTGATAATCAAAATGGTATCACACTAAAGAAAAACCACATAACTAGGATATGGAGCTAGTAAATGCATATATACCATATCAGCGAGGCTAAATTGTAGCTACAATTTTATTCCAATATTTAGAAAAAGTACTTTAATCAACAAAGATTACGAACTGTAATTGTATTTTGCATATCGGGTCTCCTTCTTATAAAGAGTTTTGATTGATCAAAATAAATCGCTAGTTCTCCAATCAATCGCAAGTTTGCATTCTTCTATCTCTTAAGAACATAATTGCGAAATATATTAATTGCAAGTAAGCTGCGATTAATATCAGCTCTCTATAAAACAGGTACCAGACCCCCATTTTGTGCCATTACATTTCGCTAAGTTACGTACAATGTTCATCACATTTTAAACATGCAAGTCATAAAAAAGACCATTTTACTATACTTTCCTCTTGGTGGAGCCATACAATTGATTAACTACATATTTATTTCCACCAGCTTTATTTTTATTCTAAAGACTGTATACAATAACCATTATAACCGAGCAGCAATTATTATTTTAAAACAGGATTTTTTCTAATATTACATACCAAATGAGATCCTGAACATAGATATGTAAATTCTACATTAAAAAAAAAAGATGAAAAGGAATACAAGGGTGAATAGGAACATTTAAAGATATTTCGTTAACATTTATTTTCTCTCATTACTGAAGTAGACAATTTAACGTGAATGGTTTTTACTGTTATCTTTTATGTGTGATGAGCTAAATGGAAAATAAATGAAAGTCTAATCATGTGTTTCATGAATAAAGGAAATGAA